CTTTAATTCTTGTTTATGGATGGGTTCAACCTTTAATTCTTGTTTATGGCTGGGTTCAACCTTTAATTCTTGTTTATGGATCGGTTCAACCTTTAATTCTTGTTAATGGATGGATTCAACCTTTAATTCTTGTTTATGGATGGGTTCAACCTTTAATTCTTGTTTATGGATGGATTTTTTCGGGAAAGCTTACAGGACTATTGAATTAATTTCCACCCCCTGCTGAAAAGGTAACAATTCTGATTTACAACGTTACTCTTTAAGCCGGTATCTTAGCATCAATGGACTTTTTTGGAAAAGTTTTGACTTTTAAAACTTTGTCAATCTAACAGGGTGGCACTTAGATTTACGCCGATACTCCCTGTAGGCTTTATGCAGTATTTCCTTAATTATTGAATAAATTGATGAGATATTGAGAATATTCAATAATTTACATTATACAATATATTAAACAGTTTAGTTTAAAGTGGGCTAGCTAACCAAACAATTTAAATGACAATAGATATTGGAGTGAAAAACTATAATTTCATATCTGTCTTCTAAAATTCTTGTGATTTACAAACTGATATTGTGAAAGTGTCAACTTTCATTTTTCTTTAATCTGCAGACAGCAAGACATATCTTCGTGAATACAGTTATACGTCACAACTTATTTATATAACATTTTTATTCATAGATTTACAAATTGTGGTCTGCTATTTGTGGTCTTAAAATTGACGAAAAATATGAAATATTGCCGTTAACATTCAAAAGCCTTGAGCTAGGTCTCTAAACCACCTACCGCCGGTTTAAATTTTGAATCATCGATTCAAAGTTTAAAGATTCTTAAAGATTTGAATCGATGATTCATGATTTGGTTGACGTGGTAGTTACTTCAGTCACACATTGGATCCCTGATAAAGAACTTAATTCACAGATACGGATGAGAAGGGGGAGGTGGGNTTTGTTCCCCCGGTGTATGTAGGTGGAGTACCAATAGACTCCTATATTCTAGATTTGTTCCCCTGGCGTATGTAGGTGGAGTACCAATAAACTCCTATATTCTAGATTTGTGCCCCTGGCGTATGTAGGTGGAGTACCAATAGACTCCTATATTCTAGATTTGTTCCCCTGGCGTATGTATAATGTAGATGGAGTACCAATAGACTCCTATATTCTAGATTTGTTCCCCCGGCGTATGTAGGTGGAGTACCAATAGACTCCTATGCTGTTGAATATAAAGAAGCTAGAAGTGAATGGACCCAGGCTAAACGTAGGGTTTGGCCGGCAGGTAACAGTATAGTTTTTCGGTATTTTTCTCCATTTTCACTCTAAAATCATTTTTTCAAAATTTTTAATTATGGTTTCTGACCAGTTGTTATAACTTTGAAGGACTCTGATATACAGGGTGTCCCAATAAACATGGGAATTCAGTGACGAATTCGATATCGTCTTTTCAAATAATTCTTTGTTTTAGTATAGTGATACCTACTGAGAAAGCTGTAATCTGTAAGAGTTTCGTCTGCTATGTTCACATTTTGTTTATGTTTTGACTGCCGTGGTTGTACATAGTAAAACAAGAAAATTGCAGTATACAAACAGAGTAAACTTGTCCGTCTTCACTGCGTTCATCTTGCGGAGACCTTATACACACATCTTTGCAGTCTTTTACCCTTTTCATAAAATAAACTCTAGCAGACATAATAATATTATGGCTTTTGAAATCAGGTATTACAATGCTAATTCTTAACAAAGACGATATCGAATTCGTCACTGAATTCCCATGTTTTTTGGGACACCCTGTATGAGAAGATCTTGTAGAATACGATTACAGCTTTTAAAATATTAAAATTCGTTCTTCATGTCATGTTTAAAGGTCAAATTATCCTAATATCTTCTTTTTTAAACAGTAAATTGAAATTGCGCTCCCTTTAGTGGTTTTAACATAGTAGCTTGATTTACGCAGAAATATTTGTAAAATTTGAAATATCACGTTATCAATTATTGCAGTTATAAAATAAAATCATTTCTATCGTATTCGAAGTTAATATATCAAATAAGACGAATTGCTAATTGGAAATTCATTATAAAATTATAGATACTAATTAGATTTACTTTGTGTTGAAAGAAATTATAAAATGGATAGCATGGTTTCCTTTCAAAGCGTAATTACATGTGACTCTTCATGCAAAGATGACAATGCCGATTCACAACACTACCCTTTGAAGCGTTGTCTGACCAATAATGAAGAAATTGTCGTTTTTCTAGGTTTAAAAGTGGCAACTTCAGATGTCTTTTTAAATGATTTCCTGCAGTATATATGCGCAAGTCACTTTTGTAGAGAAACCACAATTGAAAATAATCATTTAAAACATTGATATCTTTATCTTGCTTGATCAAACAAAGCTTTACAGGGAACAATTGGGAATTATGCATTAACATATTTGCATGGAGGATCCCTTTAACTGGTGCATGGTCCCTTTAACTGATGCATGGTCCCTTTAACCTTAAATATTTCAGCTGAGGACGGGGAGTATATTGTTGAAGGCTTGTATCCCTTCACCACATATGATCTAAGATTCTCCTGCAGAAACAGGGTTGGATTTAGTCCCTGGGGAGCTACCACTCAGATAACAACTCCAAATAGGTAAACTAAGGAATAACAAGAATGTCGTCTTTGTTTTACCATTTCAGATTTGTTTACAGTCTTGTTCCATGGTGATTATACTCTAGGTAACTAAGTGTAGTCCTAGGTAGGGTTGTTAATCGTTTTTGAAAACGATCGTTTTAAAAACGACCATTTTTAAAAAACGAACTTTTTAAAAAAACGATCGCTTTTAAAAACGATCGTTTCGTTTTCGATTTTTCGTCGTCGTTTTCATAGCGAAACGATAGTTTTTCTGAAAAATCAAAACGTTAACATCCCAAGTCCTAACTTAAGTAAAAACCACTAATAGATTAAATAAGGGTTAACATGAATGTCGTCTTTTATATACCAGTGCACATTTCAACTAGCCAAGTCATAATTAGATGATTACTAATAACAAGTATCTAACATTTTAATACGGTTGCAGGCAATTATATCAATACAATGAAGACGGATTTTTTATTTAAGTTTTAATTGTTAACAAGCTTTTTTTTGGAATTACAAGTTTACAATTAGTTAAAGAGAAGCTTTCTAATTTGACAGCTTCTCTTCGTTTTCATGTTTAAAACCTTGATATAAATCAAAATTAAAATCGAAAGTCGTCTTCATTATTTTGTTTAATCGCCTACCACTGTATTTTTCATAATATAATGATAGGTTTGGGGGTAGTTTTATTTCCTTTATTAAGTATCCGAACCCGTCTGAAAGGTGTTAATTCTTTCGATTGAATCTGGTTCTATGTGTAAGCATCAAGAGGTCAGTTTCTTGTACAATTATCTGTTCGAGATGAATCATACAATACTCAAGAATTCTTTTGTCGAAAATATTCACTCCTTGCCTAACCTTTTTTATCCCATTTGTTATTATAATGGCGAAATTCTGAAAATGGATCCACAGAATTTTCAAACCCTGCTTAGCAGCGATTTAAATTTTTTTCCAGCCTGTAAGAATACATATGACAAATATGAACAATCTGGAGCAAATAGGTGCATCAGCAAGAATTCAACAATATACGTCATCAGAGGAATTTGACACCTATGCATGGATCACAAACAGTAACTTGCAATATTTGATATTTCTGGCGCCAAGATATCAAATTAAAGAAAATTGCCAAGAAGAGAGCTGCAGCTCTGGGAAATATGCGAAATATTAGGGAGATTTTTTATTTCTTTTACAAAAAAGTAGTTATAATAACAAATCTAAAGTCTACATTTATATTCCTTTCAGCTGTGAGCTTATCTGGATGGAAGATATTCCATTAACTTCTTTTTTAAATATATTTAATATCTTTATCATCTCTACTATTTCGCAGATGTTTGAACTCAAAATTAAAATTCTTTTTTGTATTATTTTTTTTGTATTTTAACCAAACAAATCTTAAATCTGTTTTAATGACATTTATCTATATATAAATTTGGCTTGTCTTGATGTTTGTCTGTTTGGGTGTCTGTTCGTTTGTATCCAATAAACGTCAAAACGGCTGAACCGATCAGACCCAAATTTTTGTGGGACATCACGTGACCACAGGGAAGGTTTATGAATGATAAAAATAAAAAAGTGTGTTTTAAAGGTTTTTAATTTAAAAAAATTTAAATTCTTGAAAATCCGCGAATTTTTTTCAAAGAATCCGCAAAATTTTTTTCTTCTTTGTTTTAAAATGTAAACAATAAGAACATGTTCTCAATTTAAATAGAAGATGGGCGCGAAAGCGCCCTAAAAGCCTAGTTTTTATATATTTGTTCATATTTGGACCGTGCTTTACTTCTGCTTATCATCTAGAGTTTCTACATTATATTCTTATTATTTTTGACATGAAATAGTTCTTGGATTTTCTACTTTTTTATTCTAAAATTATCATTTTATTTTGGACTATAACATAAAAGATTATATATAATATTTATATACAGACATAAACATGTTTTAATAAATAAAGAAACGTATGTCTCTTTTTAATTCGTATTCCTTTTAGTCGTCGATTAATAACAATTATAGATATAACACTAGATGTCGTCTTTTCAAGATTTAGGGGTTTTCGTTCACAATTAACCCTGAGGCAGAAGCCCAAAGGAGTTACGCGCATATTCTCTATCTGTCTTGTCATTTGACGAAGCATGCGCGTAACTCCTTTGGGCTTCTACCTCAGGGTTATTGTAAATAGAAGTCAAGAGAAGCTGAAAATTAAAATTGCTTCTTTTTGTTTACTTATATTTCGAAAAATCTTGTTTACAATCAAAACATAAATAAAAAGTCGTCTTCATTGTAATGATATAATCACCTACCACTTTACTTTTATTTGTGCCATGTCACTTCACAATTCACAAGTCACATGACATCGGGCATGGTTTATGATTGATAAACACGTTTGAATTGCTAATGTGCAAGTTGCAACTGAATCAATTTGCAGTATTTGTCAATAACTCCTTTAATATTTTAGCTAGAAACAAGCCTGTTACATTTTTAAATGTCAAGTGCGACCATAATGTGATTTAGCACAGGGGTAAAACGAAAGGCAAACTTTAATGTCAAGGCTGTCTAAAATTTGATGACTAAGTTCTATATATCTCAGTTCCTTGAATATATTATTCAAATTTTCTAGAGGAGCGCCTGACAAACCGTTGATAAATCGAGGACTGGATGTGGAGGGCGGGGAGGTCGTTATTGCGCCAGAACCAAACAATTATATCCTCTCATGGAGGATGCCACAGGTAAAAAGTAAAAACGAAAAATAAGCATTAAATACTCATTATGGTATAAATGAACTCTAGAATATATATCATATTAAAATTCTATGTTTAATATTTTTGCTAGATAGTGAACAAAAATATGTATAGAATTATGAATGTTAATGGGGGGAGGGGTGGGGGCATTGCGACACCTAATTTTGTATTTTTCTAATTCTATTCTAATTATCAGGACCAAAAGCAGCCTGTAATAAATTTGATGTCACAAATTGTCGCATTGGCACCCCCCCCCCTCTTTCGCAAAAAAGTACTCTCCCCCCCCCCTCAATATTTCTAGTCAGTGTTTGTTCTCTTTTGGATGAATCTTGTTAAAATGATAAAAATTTTAACTTCATGATTTGCGTATCTAAAAAACCACTTCACTATATAATGAAAAAAGTGAAAAAGTATATTATAGGAAAATGCACGCTGGTATTTATAGTTAAAGGGGCTGTAAGCCAAATTCCAAGTGACACTGCTTGCACCCACATCTGTACCCGGCCATGAAACTTTAATTTTCCTGAAGTACAGAAATTCGCAAATCACTATTGTAGAGAACCCACAATTAAAAATATTAAGTTTTCAAAATTATAAATATTGATAAATAATTCATACTTTATTGGTCAAAGCTTTTAATGCTACTGTTGTCAATCTGGCATTGCTATCTTTGATGGATCGGGTCACTTGAAATTAAACTTTCTATCTCAACTTTAAGTATAATACGAGCAATATAGTATTATTTCTGTAAAAAAGCTGTAAAAAGGGATATTAACGTATTTTTAAATAACTGACAAGTTTTATAAAAGCTTTTCAGTTTCTATAACTCCTTGTCAATTTCTCAGTTAAAAAGCACAAAAGGAACTTTCTGAAGTCTCTTACCTTATTTCCCTCTAGTGCATTACAAGTAGACGGAGTGCAAGAAATGTGTATCGACCTTTATGTGACATCGGAAGATCATCGGAGGCCCAATATTATTTTTTCAAAATCCTTTCCATCCAAAGTATGACACGAATTATTAAGACAATTCTGTGAAAAAAGAGGGGGGGGGGTTCCCCCCCTCCTCACCAATTCCCTCCCACACCCTTTGGTAAATAAATCCACTTTTAACCAAAGAGACAGTTCACTATTAAAGTTCTGTAAACTAAGAGGCAGTTCACTGTTAAAGTTCTGTAACCTAAGAGACAGTTCACTGTTAAAGTTCTTTACAGGAGAATATAATTTGGAACACTTTTCTTGGAATAGAACTTTCAAAAGAAACACAAGTCAAAATATTTAAATTTAACTCTTTTTTGCTGATTTAAATTAGTTTAACGTGAAATAAAACGTTATTTGAGTAAAATCGTGGCTGAAGAGAAACATGAATTTTTGTTTGGATACATCAAAACAAACCCCCCTTTTTTAACCCCTGCTATACCAAAGAAATCAGTCTTTTTTTTTCTTAACAAAGGACACGCGGTGTCTTTTCCTTCGACACCTTTCCGATTTAAGAATCGTAAACATTCCCTTTAATTTCACAGCAGTCCTGATTTCATAACCGTGAATTTTCCCTTTATCCGCTAGAATTGATTATGCCTTGATTGTAGGATAATGGAGTTCTAATAGATTACTACAGGATTATCTCAGCTCTGGTAAGTTTTACATTTTTAACCACTTTCTAATGTTCTACAGTGGGACCCATAAAGCTGTGGAATAGGAAGACGATGTTTAAGCGTTCTCTTGTGTATTTATGTTGTCAAAGTTTCTTTCTTATCTATCTATCTTTCTTTCTTTTCTATCCATCCTTTTTTCTAATCTATCCATTCTTTTTTCTAATTTAACCATTTTTCTTTCTAATCTATTCATTCTTTTTTCTAATCTATCCATTTTTCTCTCTAATCTATCCATTTTTTTCACGCCTATTCATTCTTTTGTCTAATCTTTCCATTCTTTTTGCTAGTCTATCCATTATTTTTTTAATCTATACATTATTTTTTTTTTCTAATCTCTTCATTATTATTTCTAATCTAAGCATTCTTTTTTTCTAATCGAACCATCCTTCTTTCTAATGAATCTATTATTTTTTCTAATCTTTCCATTCTTCTTTCTAATCTATCCATTTTTCTTTCTAATCTATCCATTATTCTTTCTAATCTATCCATTCTAATGTCTAATTTATCCATTTTCTTTCTAATCTATCCATTTTTCTTTCTAATCTATCCATTTTTCTTTCTAATCTATTCATTTTTCTTTCTAATCTATCCGTTTTTCTTTTTAATCTATCCATTTTTCTTTCTGGTCTATCCAGCCTTCTTTCTAATCTATCCAGCCTTCTTTCTAATCTATCCAGTTTTCTTTCTCATCTGTCCATTCTTCTTTCTAATCTATCCATTCTTCTATATAATCTATCTCTGCTACACTTCTGTATGTTTATATATCATGCATCACTCCAACCATATGTTAGTATTGAGGTTAGTTGTTGGTTTGTCCAACCATATGTTAGTATTGAGGTTAGTTGTTGGTTTGTCCAACCATATGTTAGTATTGAGGTTAGTTGTTGGTTTGTCCAAACTTTCAAAGTAACTTCCAACTTTAAGACAGGATGTCCAAGAAAGAGTTTAAACGAAAACTGTTAAAATAAAATGTTTATGTATAAATATATAAAGTTAAAAAGATATATTTCTAACAGACAGTATAAATCAATAAATGTGTTTTGGTGTCTGTTTTTTAGTTTGTATCCATAGACATCAGAACAGCTAAAACATTTATGCTAAATTTTGTTCCGGTAATTTACATGGCCCATTTGGTAATATTTTTGCAAAGCCATGAATTAAAAAAGAAAAACAAAAAAGTGTTAGAAATTTACCATATACTATTACCATATACAATATAATAACCATATAATATTGATTTAAAACTATCAGATTCAAACGTTATACACATTTAACATAAAGAAGTTCTAATATTTATTGAATAGTCAATCATTTAAGGGGCTTATTTATTTCTTTGCTTTAAAAAACCATCGCACAGTGGACACCTTTCAGCATGGTGTTAATGGGTATATTCATATTATTTTTGACACACTGTGTTATATATATTACCGAAGCTGTCCGTGTGTTCCAACAAAGGATAGGTTCAGTTTGTCATATGTCAGCAACTTTTACTTTCAAACCCATTTTTTTTACATAAATTGAAGAGTTCAGAAGTTTAGGTGTTTGGGTTCAAAAATCTTATCTGTAAAACAAAATTTTTTATTGTAATTATTAACTCCTGTTCGTTGTACCTACTATTGAGTTAGTGTACTTGCAAACGTCTAGTTTATCTATTGAATACCCCCCCTACTATTGAGTTAGTGTACTTGCAAACCTCTAGTTTATCTATTGTATACTTTCCCCCTTCCCCCCCCTTTTATTGAGTTAGTGTACTAATTCTAGGAATAATTTATCAGATATTAGGCTGTATCACAAAAAAGTAAAAATTTGGACCAGACATACTTCATTTTTTTCTTTTAAATTCCTGAATAGTTCCTAAGGGCATTTTGTTTTGATTTTCGTCAAAGGGGTCAGATAAAAAACAAGATTAGAATAAAATCGAAATCTTAAGTTTATAGAAAAGGAGAGACCCCTTCATGTATTATTTCTACGTAGTCCATTACGATCATTTAGGTTTAGTTGAATTTTTCTTTTATTCAATTTTTACAGAAAATAGTATTCTAGCTTTAAAAGTGTTTAATTCTTTAAATTTTCATTATAGTTTTTCTGGAGCAGAATCAGCAAGTCTCTTTTATAGAGAAACCACAACTTAAACATAATCAATTCTTAACATAAGGATATCTCATTCATTAATTAAAGCCTGTCAGGGTACTGTTGGGAATTCGACATGCCATTAAAGGGTTATTTAAAATAATGTTCACAATCCCTGTAAAATAACATATTTAAAATAATGTTCACAATCCCTGTAAAATAAAATATTTAACTAGCTCTTTACAATATACAGGGTGTCCTAATAAATATGGGGATTCAGTGACGACTTTCAATACTTGCGCAATTTTTCATAAACACAATTATTGCAGTATTCCAGCTTATCTACTTTAAAATCTGATCTACCATTTTGTTTCTTCAAAATTGACGGCTATATTGCAAAATTTGTAAAAATTACAATTTATTTAATAAATCAAAATTGTCTTAATATCTAATATCGTTGCCAATTTTTAAGTTAAAAGAAAGGTAGACCACTTTATAAAAAGCTCGTCCGACGTATAGCCTCGTTTTTTTTTTACTTTTTCAAATAAAATTTAAGTACTTAGTTTTTTTTCTTCTCTTTGATTTAATAAGAAACCAAATTATTTTTGTGATATTATCTATGAATGATAACGGAATCATTGTTTTAGTTTGGTTAATAACGTAAAAACGTACATTTTAATTATATCATGTAGACTAATAAAAAATTCATAAAATGATAAAAAGTTAAAAATATAAAATTAATTTTTCTCTAGATAAGAAAGGACGGTGAAACAGGGTGGACTACAGTTGGAAAATCCCAGCAGGTATACCAATAATTGTAATTGTAAAAGTTAGAAAAAGAAATAATTACTTGTAGGGCATGAGATGCATGTTCTATTTATTAAGATCTTTTTCATTTTTTTTATTTGAGGCTATTTTTTTAAATCACACACCACCGACTATTCCGAGCGTCCCGTACCCTTCCCAATGGATTTGATTTTGCTCTTTAAATTAACAGTTCGAGCATTTTCGTAGGGATGCTTTGCTTTGAGTTCAGTTAAAAACACTTCAATAAAATCAATGTGGTGTCTCAATAAACCTGGAAATCAATGATGGACGACTTGAAAATTGTCTCTTTCAAAAAATTATATCATTAACATTGGCATGTGGAACAAAGACATAGATCATAGAAATAGTTACAATAACTTCCCATGTTTATTGGGACACCCTGTATATATCGATCTATTACCCTTTACAACTATATGTTGAAAGTAAACCAAGAAAATAATGTATCCGAGGGGTTTAATAGCTAAAATATAAAAATATCAAAATATTAAATAAATATGATTTCACGCCAAATAACTCTGATATTTTTTTCTTCAAATGTAAAATAAATGCTTTTATTTACAAACAAAATACAAAAACAAATATTTCTTTAAAGAAATCTCGAAATAAAATTAAGTATGAATTATCTTTGAACAGACCTCAGAACTAATGAATCGTAAATCTCGAGATCAATAATTGATCTCCATCTGATGCAGGCATACGGATTAATTTTATTCCTTTCTGATATACCATGGTGTTCATACCCTGCAGTGGTAAATTTAGTCAAATTGTCCACACTGGATATCGAGATCGAAACTATAATGTAAAACCATTTAAAATACTGATTTAAATATCAAATGAAAAAAATTTTGAATTAATTTTGTATTAATTCTTTATTTCAGACTGAAGTGCCTAATAGAGGAACTGTAAGGAATGATTTTAAAGTTAAAAATAACATATTTTACTCTTTTGCAATTATTGAAAGAAACGTTTTTAAACAAACATTTTCTTCACCTTTAATATTTGCTTTGAAAGCATTAATCTTTTTGCCAACTTTTGTCACATTGATATTTAAAGCTCTGAATCCTGCTGAATGAAAACGCTTTTAATTAATATTTACAATTTTAAACTGTTAATGGATTTTTTATATAAAATTTAATTGATTTTACCTTAATAACCTTCTCTTGTTGCTAGAAATGGGCGCGTTCGTTTTTTTTTTCATTTCCTTCGTTTATTGTTCGTGAACGACCCATTTCGGTTGTTTTTTTCAATCAAAAATTCTTAAAATTCATTTTTCATTTTTCGTCAATTTCGTTTTCTCATGGAACGATCGTTCATTTAAAATGCTCGTTTAGTAAAAAATATTTATGTTTTCAAAAGTTTGTTCGAAAAAATCGTTCGTTTATAAAAACAAATCTTCTTTTTCAAAGAAAACTATTAGAAAATTCGTTCATTCAGTAAAAAACTATCGTTTTTTTCACGCTCGTTTGAACGATTTTAATTCGTTCGTCTTTTCTATCGTTTTTCAAAAACTATAGTTATTTCATTTCTTTTTTTTTCTCTATCGCTTTTCATTTCTCTGAACTATCTAAGTCTTTCTTTCGGTTTTTTTTCTAAACGACACCATCTTTCACGAATATTTTGTTCGTTCGTAATTATTTAAAAAACCGATTTTTAAAGATCTAGAACAAAATACATTATTTTGATTATCATGATAACTTTAACATCGTCTAAAGTTACACTTTGGAGAACCTCTACCAGAACTCATATTACAATATCAGGTATAAGATAATAAATACAGGGTATCCCAAGAAACAATTTTTTTTTTCGTAGGAGAACAATTATACTTCAGAGTCAAATGTGCACAAAATTCCAATTCCCTTTCTTTAAGTGTACATCCATTGTACATGCCTTGATAATATATTATACTAACTGGAGAACCCAGTTTTCTATGGAAACTAAACTTTCGTTGTAAAAGTCAACTTACTAAATTGAGAATGCTTAAACCAGGCAAAGAACATTCCAGTTGTACTACCCTCGAGTCTCGACAACTTAAATTTAAGGCCAATCAGCGCGGAGTTCATGAAATATATCTATTTTTAAAATAGATAGAACCTAACCTAACCTAACAAAAATCGTCATTTATTCTGATAATTAGAACAAAAAATATATAAATGGCGTTGAAAAGGAAAAGGAACAAGTTTTGATTGTTTAAGTTTAACGTATTTAACGATAGGATAATTCTCAAAGTTTATTTTACTTTGATTTGGAAAAGGAACGAGTTTTAATTGTTTAACGTGTTTAACGATAGGATAATTCTCAAAGGAACGAGTTTTGATTGTTTAACGTGTTTTAACGATAGGATAATTCTCAAAGTTCATTTTACTTTGATTTGGAAAAGGAACGAGTTTTAATTGTTTAACGTGTTTAACGACAGGATAATTCTCAAAGGAACGAGTTTTGATTGTTTAACGTGTTTTAACGATAGGATAATTCTCAAAGGAACGAGTTTTGATTGTTTAACGTGTTTAACGATAGGATAATTCTCAAAGTTCACTTCACTTTGTCTAAAGGTCGTTAATGTTGAAATATTGACTGTAAACTTTTCTGGGCAAATCTAGAAGTATAAAGCTTAAAAATCTCAGGAAAAGAGATAATGCTTAAAGCATACCATATACCTAATATAAATGATACCAAGAAAACTACAATGCTGTATTTTTATTTTTTACTGACCCTTTTTTTCCTGACCTCTCCCTTCTGCCCACTTTCTTATTTCCTTGACGCTATGAATATTTTATTTTTATTTCATATATTTTTGGAAAGCCTTTGAGTTGTTCTTTAATAATCTGAAACACACTCGCAAATTTGAAAAAATCTAAAACTTTCAATCCAATAACAAACCAAAAAAGCGCAAAATTGTATGACAATATACTCATTTTTGATAAAGTTTTTTTTTTCAAAAGAACCCTTTATCTGATCATCAATGATGAAGATATATTTGTTTTTACTAAATTTAAACTTTCACTATCCGTCCTTGTCGTTGCTGCATAAACCAACAAGTCACTTTTTAGAGAACCCGCAATTAAATATTATCAATGTTCAGATAGCAATGGACATCTCCATCAATTTTTAGACAAAGGTTTAAAGTTTCCCGATGTGATTTAAAAAGGAAGTTATAAGTCTAAATTTCAAGGATAGTAGCTCCTTCATCTCTTGCAATATATCAACACTCCTAGGAACTCCGGTCATTTTTCACAATAATGGTGTCCAACATCTTGAAAAGGGAAAACCTAGTTGAAAGAAAATTAAAAATATATTTGCACTTTTTTCAAAGCTAATATCTAAAGAAATTCGGCATATACAGTTAAACCCTAAATAAGCCATACATCGAAAGAATTCATCAAATGTCGTATTCTTTACTTTCTGATAATGGAATGCTGCAGATATTTAGTTTTTTAAGTAAATGATTAAATGGAGCTCTTTAAAACTGTTTAACCATATTCATGGCTATTTATTTATTTTCGCAAATACTGAAATTTACGTAATATATAATAAAAAATTGAAAAATTGGCAAGACGACATTTGATAAATTCTTTCTATGTATGGCTTATTTAGGGTTTAACTGTATTTTAGTAAAAAATGCGCAAAATTTCCGTTGTTTTCATGGTGGCCAAGATTTTAATAGTTCAGGATTTTTAGAAAAATTATTTAATAGAATATTCTGTTGGGAATGTTTTAAAGTGAGCGATCTGGAGAGCTCTGAACATTTTTCATTCATTTTCTAGACCGGATGGACTTTAAAGTGCCGCAACTCCTTCGTCATTGGGTTTACCTTTCTAACTTATTGTTACTTTTGTGTAGCCCTAGGCATGTCCAATTTCCATTTTAGAAAGCAAAACACAACTCGCTTGTATTAAGAAAAGAGTATTAGTTTGTAAACTTTTATATTGTTCAATGTAATTTTGCTTTAGGCAAATATAAATGATGAATAATATAATTGTTAAAAGGCTAAAATATCTTTGTGTGAAATAATAAATACTTTTGATATTTGTACAAGGGATCTGATAATGGTGTACAATGTACAATCTTACATCAAATACGTCAACATTTGCGAATTGCCTTTACGGAAAAAGAAAATATTCATATTTAAGTTATTTGTGTTTTTTAACAAATGAAAAAATCATCAATTAGGAGTATGACTGAGATAAAGAGATTTTGAAACTAACAAGATTTATATTTCGTCTCCAATTATCAGAAAATTATGATTCTATGGTTTTAGTAAATAAAAAAGATTAAGAAGAGTTTTTACCAAAAAATGCAGAAAAACCTTAATCCCAATAATCCTATAAGAAGATTTCCACTGGAATAATTTTTTACCATCAAAACCAGAATTTTGTTTCCAAAAATTCAAAAATTAAATTAAAAATATTCAATTAATTAAAACAAATTTAAATTTGTTTCGATTGAAATTTTTGATCCAATCTCTCTGTTTCAATAATCTAAAAGGAAAAAATGAAAATAATTTTTGAAAGATAACGATTTTATAATTTTGATAAAAAACAATCTTGGCATTTAGATTATTAATTGTAAACTTAATAGATGTTTTCTTTTTCGGTTTCTGACTGAAAAACTGTTCAATTAGAATGCCAAAATCATATGGTTCGTTAAAAAAAAATGACAAAAAGTGACAAACACTTTTTTATGAAATTTAATTAATAATTTTATTACAGTGTTGAGGCCCACAATGAGATTGGATTCTCTCCAAAAGATTTTATTCTTATTCGAACTAAACCAGGTCAGTTAAAGACATCTGAAGAGTTGTCTAGATGATTAAAGGGAGTTGTCTAGATGATTAAAGGGAGTTGTTGTCTAGATGATTAAAGGGAGTTGTCTAGATGATTAAAGGGAGTTGGATTAAAGGGAGTTGTCTAGATGATTAAAGGGAGTTGACTAAATTATTAAAAGGAGTTGACTAGATGATTAAAGGGAGTTGTTTAGATGATTAAAGGGAGTTGTCTAGATGATTAAAGGGAGTTGTCTAGATGATTTAAGGGAGTTGTCTAGATGACTAAAGGGAGTTGTCTAGATGATTAAAGGGAGTTGTCTAGATGATTAAAGGGAGTTGTCTAGAGGATTAAAGATTCACAACAACGTTTATTCTCTATTAAAAAGGCTGAAGAATTTTTGCAACAGAAACATCTACAGTTGCTTTAACTATTGATCGATACTAAATTAGTAAGTTTCAATTTCTTTAAAATTATAAAGAAAGTTTGTCTCGCTATTTTTCTAAAATGCATGCACTTAATGCCAGTCATACTAATAACTTCGCATACAAATATACTATCATTACTGAAAAAAGTTGAAATGATAAAAAAAAATTTATTTTGCCTTTTTGGATAAATAATAATATTCACATGAATAGTCTTGTAAAGAAGATCTTGGATCAATGCCTGTACCTGAATCCACCTCTCATCTCTATTTATGATCATGATCTCGTTAATCATTGAATATTCTAGGTGAAGAAGATTCTGGATCAATGTCTGTACCTGAATCCACCTCTCATCTCTATTCATGAACATGATCTCTTTAATCCTTGAATATCCTAGGTGAAAATGATCCTGGATCAATATCTGTACCTGAACCCACCTCTCATCTCTATTATGATCATGATCTCGTTAATCCTTGAATATTCTAGGTGAAGAGGATCCTGGATCAATGTCTGTACCTGAATCCACCTCTCAGCTCTATTTATGATCATGATCTCTTTAATCCTTGAATATTCTAGGTGAAAATGATCCTGGATCAATGTCTGTACCTGAATCCACCTCTCATCTCTATTTATGATCATGATCGATTCTCTTTAATCCTTGAATATTCTAGGTGAAGAAGATCCTGGATCAATGTCTGTACCTGAATCCACCTCTTAGTTCTATTTATGATCATGATCTCTTTAATCCTTGAATATTCTAGGTGAAAATGATCCTGGATCAATGTCTGTACCTGAATCCACATCTCAGTTGTACTTGGGACCTATTCTAGGCAAATATATGATTTAAAGTCTGTATTTAACTCCGGTTAATTTGAAGTACCGAACCGATCATGTGCACACTGACCTCAACGTAATTTTCAAATTTCAAAACTTTATTATAAAAAATCGATATATCTTCTCTCTTGTGGCTGAGATGAAGATTTGTAAGTGAGATACCATTGTGAATCGGACATGCCAATACAAAAATTAAGGGTCACTGGAAAGGAATTGAGTTTTTGCCACAAACTCTGATCTTTTCATCTTGGCAAACCAATTTCGTAGATCTTTGATATTTCAAACTATATATCATGCTTAGGGCCTAAACAACCCAATGTCGCTACTTGGATAAATTTATAATCTCAGACGGAGCTATTTCTGGCTCAAATCATAGTAACCATCTTTCTTAACCTAACCTAACCTTAAATAGTATGTGTACATAACAAGGAAAGGGTGAGGGGTCCAATGTCATACAATTAATTTAGACCCCTTTTTGGTTTCGTGTGAAGCCACAGAACCGTGTTCATATGTTTCCTCTTAGGCATTGTACTTCTAGTTGCTATTCTCCTTCTTCTTCTCATCGATCTTTCTTGCTGGAAGTTTAATTATGCTGGTAACTCATCATAGAAATAGAGATGACCATCGTTTTTGTAAAGAATGAAATTTAAAAATAAAACAATCAATGTTTAAATGAACCAACGATTTTTAATAACAACTTTTAAAAAACGATAGTTTTTACTGAACAAACGATTTTATTGAATAAATGATGTTGCTGAACAAACGATTTTATTGAAAAAATGATGTTGCTGAACAATCGATTTTATTTATTAAATGATGTTGCTGAACAAAGGATTGTATTGAATAAATAATGTTGCTGAACAAACGATTTTATTGAATAAATGATGTTGTTGAACAAACGATTTTATGGCACGGTCGTTCACTGAATAAACCTAACCAAATAGATGGAAAATGAACAAAAATGTTGAGAACGAACGAAATAATTTTTAACGATTGAAAAATAACGGAAAAAATGGGTCGTTCACAAACGATGAACGTACGAAATGAAAAAAGCCGAACCCGCCCATCTAGACTGTACATAGAAATATGAACACTTACGTAGAAGGGACATCCAATGAATCAAATCAATAGTGCAGAAAAATGCTAGATGGGAAACTGGAAACTTTTCATGCATTTTACTGAAAAGATAATCAATACCAAGGTACTAACGCAAGGAAAGTTATTTCAGAGGTGTGCGCATTTTTTGTACTGCAGTGTACTGTCTTTGGGCGGAAAAGTAAACACAAGACGGATGTCACAGCCTGTAATAGAATCCATTTTCACAAAAATAATCAATGAAATATTCTGGTCTTAGAAAACTATTATGTGAATTTTCAAAATTATCAAAATTAAATGCTTTTAACATCCTCGGATACTAAACGAACACTGATGCATCTTTTCTTGTTTACAAGTTCTACCCAAAGAGAACTCGTTTCAGTATGAACGCAAACTATACGCGACAGCAATTAACTTTCCTTGTTTTAGTACCTTGATCAATACCACCATTCTTTAAGGACTGATAAGGGTATATACAATTTATTTCTAACCCCAAAGTTTTCCATTTGCAAAGAGTGAACACCTTTACTGGCAAATAAGGACAATTTACAGTAAACAAACACATACAGAGTACGTTTTCTTTAGAAGTTAAAGTACAAATAATTTCAAAATGTACACAACAGCATGATATCCCAGGACACAACAGCATGATATCCCAGGACACAACAGCATGATATCCCAGGACGCAACTATTTATGTGATGTCCTTTCTGCGGGAGTGTTAAAATCATTATTTCTTGATCTTGATCTTGATCTTGATCTTGATCTTGATCTTGATCTTGATCTTGATCTTGATCTTGATCGTAATCTTGATCTTGATCGTAATCTTGATCTTGATCTTGATCGTAATCTTGATCTTGATCTTGATCTTGATCTTGATCTTGATCTTGATCTTGATCTTGATCTTGATCTTGATCTTGATCTTGATCTTGATCTTGATTATAAGATTTTGATATCTATATCTAATCCCCTATTTTCTACTTTTATATTTTCTTTGTCAGATGAAAGATATTAATAAATACTTTTCCAATATTGTAGATTGAAAAAGAAAAAAAGGATTATACAAAAGAAAGAGTTTATTTGAAAACGAAAACATAGAATCCTTCTTCGTGCCAATTCTTTAGAATTAAGGTTTCCAACTTCCAGGGATTGGAAAATTAAAAGTAAAAACTAATTTTATCCTTTTCCAACCTAATGGCGTGCAATGTGCATCTTTTATATTTCAAACCTTGAACTAATATAATTCACAAATAGGTTGCAAATATTTAAAAATTTTAAAAGTGCTTGGTTACCATCTTTTGTGAAATTAAGAAATTATACACAAGAAGTTTTGAAGGAATAATTTTGAAATAGTTTTATTCATTAAAGAAACTGGAAAATTTTAGAATTTTGAAAGTAAATCAATAATTACAATAACATGAAAATAATTTTTTTTTCTATTGAAAAAAAAATATCAGTCAAATGTTCTTTTATATTCATTATTTCAAGAAAGATGTTTTTTTGAATTGCATGCATTCTATCATTTTTATAATCAATTGATGACAAAGGGAGTGTTTGTGAAAAGCGAAAGGGGTTATAGGCTTACGGCGAAAAATAAGCGCTTTTGATCACTACTAATCTTACTTTTATCTGCTGCGTCTATAAGGAGAAAATTGTTAAAAACGACTCATGCTGAAGCACGTAGCGTCCATTCAGATTGAGAACATTCAACTCAAAACGTAAAAAATCAATTTAATTCCAAACAAATCATTCAGATATTACAGACTATAGTCATCGATTATTTTTCGACGCATGCTTATATAGTTGATATTTCATAATATATGTTTTTTGATTTTTTAAAAAATAATATTTTGCTGGTGCTGGATTTTCGAACATTCCTGGAAAATATGAAAATGTCTTCTTCATTATCAACAATCCTCGAAACAGGAACAAATGTTTTCAAAAGTAACTATCAGATCATAAAAGCGCTTATTTTTCGCCGTAAGCCTATACCCCCTTATATTTTTCGCGAACCACTCCCTTTAATTCCAAAAATATTTGAAATAAATCTATATTCTTATATTCTATAAACCTGGCAAAAGAATGGATTTTTCAAGATAAAAAATTCTCAGAAAAGTTTCTTTAAAGTTTTTCACTGGAAGTCTCAGAAAAAAGGATTGTCACATCTTTCACTAGCGGTAGCTAAACAACTAATTTAGATTCGCACAATAGAGAGAAAATAAGCTTAAAGGGAGTGTAAAGAATTGGGTATTGTGGATAGAACATTTTTTTTGATTAATTATCACTGCTTCTTTTTAACCGAAAGACAGAACATTTATTGCTTATGTTTGTCGATTAGATATTTATTAAACACATTAGCTGTCAATTTTCTAATTTCAAATTTTTTTAGTTAACAAATAAAATACAATATTAAACATTCCAAGTTACTCAACTTTTGGACGCTTTTATTTAACTTTATAGTATCTCAGGAAGGAACAAAACGACGGTCATGAAAACGGAGTAAAATTTGTAGCTCCGTTGCTAAGTGAGTGGCGTCACGAGTTACACTGTAAACTAACCAAAAGAAGAAAGTCAAATTTAATTGATATTACTGTTGCGACTTTGTGACTCAGTTCCTCCTCTAATTCGGATGTTACGCTCAAGTGTAAGATAAACAATTAATTATTTTACATATTATAAATTCAAAACAATTTTGTTCCTCTCAGTAGCTCTTCGGAAAAAAGAGTTATGCTACAGTGAAACCCTTCATAACGAATTCATCGAAAGAATTTATCAAATGTCGTATTCTTCACTTTCTGATAATAAAATGTTGCAGTTATTTAGTTTTTTAATTAAATGATTAGATGGAACTCTTTAAAACTGTTCCCGCATATTCATGGCTATATATTTATTTTCGCAGATACTGAAATGTACGTAATATAGTATAAAACTCATTAAAAAATTGTCAAGACGACATTTGATAATTTCTTCCGATGTATTCGTTATTAAGGGTTTCACTGTAAAAACATAAAATATTTCAATTTGACGTTAATTTGACGTGGTTACGGTACTGATAGCGCCTTCAAACTTCCTTTTAAGATTACAACTAAAATTGCAATCTATAGCAATAAACATCTTGCTTGATCCTAGCATTACGACAGATGGTATTAAATTATAGTCGTTTTCGTAGGTCATTACATTGAATGACATAACATGCCAAGTTGCCAACACTTGAATAGGTAAGGATGAGTTAATAATTAAGTAGGTTCGATGAAGTATGCGGGTCCATGAGATAGTTGTATTAAACTTCTCTGGTGTGCGAACCTCACCCCATTCAGTTATTTCCATGCCCTTATACGCTACTATGGTTTAATGGCTACAACAACAACAATAACAACGAAGTAAATTTCAGCCTCTTTCATTTTTCCCAAACACTCCCTTTAAATAAAAGTAAATTGAATTTTATCAAACATAAAAAAACTGAGAAAATAAATAAAACTAATTTATAAACACTAACATTTAATTAAATATTTTTCCTTGTTCAAAACCTTTTTTATATAACGAAATACACTGAACAGAGAGTAAATAATTACAAAATATTATTTACAGTGAGCCTCATAAAACTATGGAGTAAGAAGGCTCCCGTCCTATCAATATTAACCACAGTATTTGTACACTGTACACCGTACAGTGACTTACGTACACAGACCTATTTACAAAACAAGCTAATGTCAAATTAACAACATCAAATACACATAAGAATGCTGAACTGTTTTCTTTCTAATTCACAGTTTTGAGAGCCTCATTGTACAACATTTTTTAATTATGACAACTTATCGATTGTACACTGAGCCCATACATTGTACAACATTTGCATTTTGACGTTATTTAGTTTTGCACACATTCTACTTTAAAGGTTAACATATTGTACCGAACTGTAAAGAGCTCCAAACTGTACTCAATAGTTCTCCAAATTGTACTCAATATAGTTCTCCAAAATGTACTTTTGTCCATGTACTGTTTTGTAATTTGTAGTTGTTTAAATCTAGGGAAAATAGTTTCAGACTGCAAATAACAAAAAAAATTTTATTTTAAATTTTTGTTGTTTAGTTTGTATTGTATTTAATTTGCAAAAGAATAACCAAAAGAAAAATCTTACACCGTAAAAGTCTGAAATTGTTTGTACTTCCTTTTATTTTCCTATCATCATTCTTCTGATTCTGACTTTACCGTTATGTTTTAAGTATTGTATTAATAAGGTGACAAGAAAGAGGCTGTTGGCATTAAATATTTAGAAATTAATAGAAATTTATATTGTTATATAAAACTTGAAAATATACCAACAGTTTTTATACCTTGTTTTGTCCTTTATATGTTTGGGAAAATTATCTATCTTATATTAATTCATTCTTAATTTATCTTGTACAAAGAAAATATGTTAATTTTTGGTATGAGTCTTCTCTTCTAAAAATTTTCTATTTCCCCCCATTCAAATCCCTAAATTTTTTAACTAATTAGTTTTATAGATTTTAATATTAAAAAAGTTTTGCTTTTTCTTATCAGGTCTCTAATGTAAAATAAATTATTTTTGTATAATTTTTAAAAAGTTGGTTCACTTAATGTTCTTTAATTTAAACTTGTCTTATTTAGCTTTGTATTGTATTGTATGAGCTTTGTATTGTATTGTATCAGCTTTGTATTGTATTGTATCAGCTTTGTATTGTATTGTATCAGCACTATAAAATCATTTTGCAAAACTAAAATTTGCTGTTTATTAAATGCTCTTAAAATATGTGAAACTTTATACCAAATTTAATTTTCAACTAAAACATATGGTTTGAAAGATAATCCAACATTTTTCAATTAATTTAATCCTAATTCTTATATAGAACTTCAACATTCAACAGAAACAAAGTTATTTTGATATTCTTAATAGAACCATTTTGAAATTTAAAAGAGAGGAAAAAACTTCTAAAATGTTTTTTTAAAAGGATTCGAGTCTTCAATCTCTATATCTTTGGAACAACATGCTGTAGACCTTCAACATTTCAAACTATAAATTTTGTTAGATCAAATAGTTTAGTTTGAAATATCAATGGTTTACACCATCAGATTGCAGAGATATAAGGATTAGAAAAAAGTCAATCCTATGTTTAGAATTTTGGCTTTGTGCGCAATAAGCATAGTTTTTTGGTTTGCATTAATATTTTTGTCTGTTTAAACACTTCATTAAAACAGAAACTTAGATTTGCTTTTTTTCTGCAGACCTAGCATTATAAAACATACATTTATGAACATACAATGCTTATGTATTTTTAAGGAGTCTCTTAAAAGCTTTAATGTCTAAAACCGAATAAAACCATGCCTAATGCTTTGTGTGATGTGACATGTCATGTAAAGTTTAAAGAGAAATCAAAATATCATTTTTCCAGAAAATAGTTTTATGAGAAAAATGTGTCTCCTTTATCTAGACAGGTTTCTAGTGTAGCAGAGTCATCTGTAAAAACTGCTTGGGCGTACGCTAAATCTACAGAAGATCTTAGAACTCAACCAGACACTGCTGGACGGAGTAGAGAGATTAACTCAAATACGAGGTTTAGAGAGGGAAGAACGGAGGAGAATTCAGAGAATCAAAACCTACTCCCGGAGAAGGATGAAGGACGGAGAAGAAGTCAAGGGTTCCTACTGGATCAAGGTCTGAGTACTCCAAGAGGAAAATTCACAAGGAAAGTGTTGATTTCTTAAATTGATTTTAGTTGCTCAATTAAACCTAGCCATAGAAAACTATCAATTCAAAATTTGGAATTTAATCATACATTGAATGATTATGATTATGGAGAATGGATGAACTTATTTTAATTTAATTAAATGAGTTTATCACATACAAGTTGTGAGCATAGATTTCTGCTATTAGTGGTAAAACTGAGAAGTGGTATGAATGGGCAACATATTCTTGAATGATGAAGTTCCCTTTCCTATATATTTTGTTCAAGAGAAAAGTAATTTATTTGGAGAACTGGTCAGTTTACACAGGGTGATGAAAATCTTAAATTGACTAAAAATCATCTTGTTAAAGGGAGTGACCGGCTATGTAAGGTAATTGAACTGAGTATGCAGTGTTGTGGAAAATTTCTTTGGATTCATTTGAGACATATGAACCTTTTTGAAGATCCGTAAATCCTGAGTTTGAGCGCAAATTCGACATTCAAAACTCCTACTTTGGCGGCTGATACATATTTAGAATTATTTTTTTTTTAAATATTAAGTAACAACAACGAAAAATAAAGTAAAAATTATACAGTAATCTTAATAGATGGTTAGCAACATATTTCTCAAAAGATATTTGTCAATAAAACAATGCTAAAATCGATTATTTCGTTTTCATTATCATATTGAATTTCTTATTTTCTTTGAATTCATTCGCAGATTTCTTCAAATTTTTCAAATGTTGTCTTTCAATAATAATTCTAGAAAATCTGCAGAAAATCTTTGTAAATAATGAGAAACCAGAATAATTAGAAAATAGAAACTAATAGTTGAACAAGATTACTTATTTTTGATGATAAGATTAATTTCAATTTTCTCAACATGTTTCTATACATGACGTCTGTGGTTTATTGTAGAACTTTTTTACATTCTATGTCGCCGTTATTTAATAATTAAAAAAAACTAATTCCGAAAACGTATCCACCCTCAAAGTAGGAGTTTTGAACGTCGAATTTGCTCTTTAACTCAGGATTTACAGATCTTTAAAAAGTTTAATATGTCTCAAATGAATCCGAAAGAAATTTTCCACAACACTGCATACTCAGTTCAACTACTTACATAGCCGGTCACTCCCTTTAAGCACACTTCTGTCCAAGGAGTAATGTAGTTCTCAAAAAAAAAATTTATTTACTATAAAAGTGTTATTTAGTGAATTCGACATTTTGTTGAAAAAACATCATTTTCAATTCTAAAACTATGACCAGCAATTCACTGGATTCTTCGGGCTAGAAGTTTTGAATGGGAATGTAAAGAAGAAAAAAGTTTTGATTCAACCTGTAGGGTGTTGACCAAGTCAAATAAATCATTCTTGATACATTACACAATATGAACACTAAATCTAGTATTTTTATCAATGAATGAATAAATGACTCCCAAAGTTCAAATACATTCTTGACATATAATTATATTTTTTTTTTCTAAGAAAACTACAGTTTCTGAATAATTGGTATCCAAAAATTTTATATAAATGAATCAGATTATATTATTCTAAATTTTATTTTTGTGTAAAAACCTAAACACAACTTAAGTTAAAAAGTTTTAGGCTTTAATAATAAGGCCTGTTTACATTAAATGTTAGTGTTGCATAAAACTTTAATCCTCTTAGAACTTTTTAATTCTGAAAACTTTTTTATACACTTAAATTAATTTTATTAATCAACATGGCGTCTCAGTGAATGGGTTTTGTCAGACACACACAGAGAAACATTTGTTCCGAACATTTATGATGTCACCCCGGATCATTCCATCTTGAAGAATGGACTAGCAAAGTCGCTCTCCCAAATGTGTATTTTGGAAAGTCTAGAAAATAACAAAAATCTACCAAACACCACAATGGCGCCGAATCTCAAGCAGGCGAACACCGCGACATTGCGGGGAAATTGTAAAGCTCGACTGGTCAAAGTTGGGCCTCCCACACTTCCTAAACCAAATATTGCAAGCAGGCCAAATTCAGAATTCATATCAGGCGCTGTTTTATCCAATACCAGAGCAAATCAAATGTTCCGAGATTCAGGGAAATAGAATTAAACATTTTTATTCAATAAATGTCGCAGTTTTAAAAATGGATTTTTTTATTGCTTCCTATTTTCAATTAATTATAGATAATGATAAAATATCTATTCAAAAACAGGAAAAGACCAAGAACATATTATTCAAAGTCCAGGAAATTATGGAAAAAAATGACAATTAAATAATATTTACATTGAGCTTAAAAACCTTGCTATAATATGTAAACTTGTATAAAAAAGTTTTAATATTGACTGAACAATCTATAGAAATATTTCTAGCAATATTTTCAATGGATTTATTCTCTGGTTTTCTTTTATTCCATATTTATACAAACAGACTGGGTCTTTTATGCTAAAGGAAGAAAAACCAAAGATTTTGGAGATTTTCAAATTTTCTCTGACAGCCCCCTCAGAAACTGAAACCTCAGCAAAATAGAACAAAAGACAGAAATCCAGGGCTCGGAACTTTTCTTTGGAGTATCGTTAATCTGTAACGCTTGATCTTGATATCAAATGTGGACACTTTTAAATTTAATGATAAAGGGTTGATCCCTCAACTTAGATTAGCCATGCAGGGTATAGCCACCACGGTGTATTGAAGAGAAATGCAATTCATTCAAACACAATGAAGATTGATCTTGATATTTGCAAAAGTTTTGACGTTTATTTTGTTTCTCTAAAGACATAAGTTTAGTTAGTAATGTGATGCAATGTGTGAAAATACTATTTTCTATAAAATATTTTTGTGTTAAACTGTAAAAGATGTATGTATATATTTGATACATTTCTAATAATTTATGCAAATGGAAAATCCTTTTCTGCAAATGTTTATGTTTTACATCTTTGAATAATTAAATAGAAATTAGCCATGAACTTTAATAATTTTGTACAGTAATAACCAGAAAACATTAGCAGGGAGGGGGGGGGGGCAAAATTGATTGTTTAAGAATTGTTTTTTTTTGTAATCGTTCTAATGATCTACATTGTTTATGAACAATTTCGAAATCGTTTGTTCAAACGAACTTGAAAAACAATAGTTTATACTAAACTAACAATCTTAACTGAACGAACGATTTTACTGAACGATCTTTCAGTAAGATAACAAACAAAATAGAGGGAAAATGAACGATTATTTTGAGAACAAACTAAATATTTTTTTATTGAAAAAAACGAGCAAAATCAGAGGTCTTACGAAAGATGAACGAACGAAATGAAAAAAAAACAATGCATCCATCTCTAAGTACACTATAATTCCGCAGCCAAAACTGAATTTCGACCAAATGACCCTACGTAATACCTGTGAACCAAACTTTTCCTTTCTTTTATAAGAATATTCAGCAGCGTACTGCAGTATATTGTGCATTGTATAGAAATGTACCAAGCTATAATCATAGAGAATAGAATATATATTAGAGGGGAATTTTGTAGGAAAAAGTGTAAAACGGCCATTTTGTTGTACTGTTTCCATACTGCAGGTGTACTTCACATATTTATCCTATATAACCTTTTGGGCCCTGGAATATCATTTTATAGAAAATCTAAAATTATTGTTAAAAGAAAACCAAATTATGAAATAGGCTGGTTTAATAATTGACCAATGATCATTGCCTTCCACTTTACAAAAGATGATTTTCCGTTATAACTATAAATCAAATTATGTTTTTTATTCACCTAATTTATTATGAAGTTTATTTAACAGTTTAAAAAATTCAAAATTGAAATGAATAGTCTAGGGAACATACCATGTATTAATGTACTCTACTGCATATAATTTGTGAACATTTGCATGATTTGTACAATTTGAACTACCTTTCAGGCTGAAGATTGTTTGAATTCCCCTCTAATATATATTCTATTCTCTATGGCTATAATTGACCATAACTTATTATATGGAACTCATATATAAATGAACAACGAGAGACCCATGTCTACTTAAAACCAGTTCTGTTCATAAAATCTTAAAACAAAATAAAAATTTATTATTATGTTTGAATAAAATTGGTCTGAAAACACAGCCTTATTACTCTATATTTCCTTAGCTAAAATACATGATGTATAACAAATTAAAAAAAGTATGAGATGCAATATACAAACTGACAGAAACAGTGTACATCTATTTATTTATGCAACCACAAAGGATGAGACTGTAAAGACGACCAAAAAACTTTTAAAATATGACGATTCTAAGGTGAAATTAAATAACTTGCATTAGATCAAATGGCTTATTTAATGATTTGTCCCAGAAAGAAACAACTTCACAGCTCCAGGGAATCATGAATATAAGGAAATTCCGTACAGTCGTCCCTCAATTCTTATCCTTTGTCAAAATATTTTCTATATTTTTTTTTCAAATTTAAAATATAACAACATTCTTTAAATAGTTATATGAAATCAGATACACCTATTTTGACGTTAATATATTTCTTGTTCTTCATTTTACATCTTTTTATCATATATTGACTAATTTTGAAAAAAAGATATTTGGGGCATCCTCTCAGTTTAGACCAGCTGCAAGCTTCAAAACTTTGTTAAGGTTCCTCCTTTCCTATTTTTCTACTGAACAAACATTATATGTGTCAGCAGCTAAATTCGAACAAATTGATTCAGCTATAAACAAACCAAACAAACAAAAGTTTCCTTTCAATTTGTCCTGCTCAATTTTATTTTCTTCTTGTTTTGAGGCCTCTCCAAATAGTTCAATTGTGACATTGAATTGTGGAGCAGGTTGGAACAAGATAAGGAAGTTTTGAGGAGGAAGGGTATGAGGAATTTCAGTAGAAGATCCCTGCTTTCCTTTGTTTTTAAGTCTTTCCGACTTAAGCGGAATTAAGGAAACCCATAACTGCACCACTTATGCAAAATGGGGAGTTGGAAGCCTTGAAGCCCCATCAGGTGGAATCTTCCACAGTAGTCCAGTCCTCAAGTAATAAACCGATAACAACTTCTTTGTTCCTGCTTTCAGCGGAGATGTTGATAAGTTGATAAACTGAAGATGAAGTTCATGTTTACTCCTATGTTAGCTACTGCCCTTTAGGATAAGTCATGAGCAACTCTTCTCACTGCTCTTCTGATCTGTGGAGCCGGGAGCTATGATGGGGAGAGGTCCGTAACTCTTTGAGAGCTGAAAGTAAACTGATCCTATGCCTAATTATAAAACTAACTAATTTTTTTCTTGGTTCTTGGTTTTTCTTTCATGCTATATTTTTCTATCTATTTTTCTATCTATTTATCTATCTATCTATCTATCTCTCTATCTCTCTATCTTTCTATCTCTCTATCTCTCTATCTATTTATCTATCTATCTATATATATATATATATGTATATCTATCTAGACTGGAAGTGGACCCCTTGCTTGTAAAAGGGAAGCGTAGTACAAGTGTAGTCAGCTCTAAGCAAGGAAACAGGACAACAGTTAACAGGAATCAGGACTATGCTGTTTAAACATTATCAGTCAACAGGAATCAGGACTATGCTGTTTAAACATTATCAGTTAACAGGAATCAGGACTGTGCTGTTTAACATTAACAGTTAGCAGGAATTAGGACTTTTTTAACATTAACAGTTAATAGGAATCAAAAGATTAACCAGTAAACAGAATTCTGCTGTTTAAACAAACCAGGAAACAGAATTCTACAGCTCGATTTTTACAAGAAAACAGGATATCACTGAACAAAAGTCAGGATTAAACCTTTTTCTGTGAACAGAAATCTAAATTAAACTGTTCGGAAACAAAACGGCGTGGTGAATGGGTAATTAATACTGTCTGACCCTTAAAACTGTGGAATATAAAGTCGATTTTAAGCTCAATTTATGATTTAATGAACATGAAAAAAGTGAATTTTCATGCCACAACTGGCAAAATATTTGACTTTTTAACAACATTAAATACACACAATATTGCTGAAAAGTCGTCTTTTAATTCTCAGTATCATGGGTCTCACTAAAGAACTATTTTATCCTAGTTGAAATAGGGCAAACTATTGTAAATTGTTTTACTGTATACTATACCCGTACCTTAATTATTTATAGAAGAATTTATTTTATCAGAAAATGCACATAAGTCAAGGAGTTAAAAAAAATTAATCTACGTAAGAAAGTCACCGGGAAAAAAGTTTCTGGAAAAAAACCTGGAAATTAAAACTTTTGTGAAAAAATTTTCTGAAGGCCTAGGACAAAATGTTACTGGAAATAAAGTTCTGAGTTTTTTATTCCCGGGACTTTTTTTCCTAAAAAAGTATTGGGGCTGCCAATAAATAATGCCTCAGGAAATAAAGTCCGGAAGAAAATGTATCCGAAGAAAAAAACCCAAGAAATAAAAGTCCTAAGTCTTGTGAAAATGAGGTCAATTCTAAAATTTTTCATAAAATTTTTTTTTTTCTATGCATCTGTATTTTGAATATAGCCATGGGTGTTTTAATATCAATTGCCCCTTTTTTTGCATGGTTGTAAATATCCTTTGTTCCCATGCATTATCTTATATAATAGGACTTTTTTTGCATAAAATAATACTGTAACCATAGAAAAGTCCTACAAAATAAAGTCTCAGAATGGTAGGACTTTATTTTAGAGACTTTTTATTTCAAGGACTTTTTTTCCTCGAAAATTTAGGACTTTATTTTCGAAAACTTTTTTTCAGAGAACTTTTTTGGCGGTTACCTAAACTATGTGCTTTGTTACCTTTAAAATAATATTAATATAAATTCCTTTAACAAAATTAAAAAGTGTTCTCAGTTATTTATTCGCACTTTTTAAATACAATGATTTGAATCTTATCTTATTTTAAGCGGTGGATTTAAAAAAACCCTTAAAAATGACTTTGAAAAAATAATCAAGTCATATTTTTATGTAAGTCAACGTTCTACTTGGCTCTCATATCATGGATTGAATTTACAAGTACAAAAAAAGATTTTTTATTAATCTCATTGTACTGCACTATCTGAAGGGAATATAAAAAAACACCGTAAGAATATTAATATGTTTGTTTACATTGCTCAGAGAAACTGCAGTACATTTTATTCAAAAACAAAATCCGTAGATCGAAGATGTTATTTTATGATAAAATTGAACTCTATATTAGATACATACAGTGAAACCCCTTAAAACTGTGGATTAGGAAGACGACTGTAAGAATCAAATTATTTCCATGGTGAATATGAAATACAATAATTAGGCAGTGTAAACTGCATACACAGGCAGTAATTAGGAAGTGTAAACTGCATGAACAGGCCAATTTCACTTGATTTCCAAGCTCTACTGCTAACACTGCTGTTTTCTTTAAAACAACATAAATTGGCTTTATAAATGACGTCTTTACAATTCACAGTTTTAGGGTTCCACTGATATTAAAGTCTTTATAAAACATGAAAGAATTATGAACCCTGAGCCTAAAAATGAAGTTGTTAAGATTAGTAATTTATAGAATATGAGAAATCTTTACCATAAATTTTGAATGCATTAACCCTATCCCTGCTGGGGTACTTGAAAACCAGGATATGCTGGGGGGGAGGGGGTCAATTTGACCCCCCCCTCTAAATCCCCTGTTTTATATCCAAATATGACAAATGATACATCATTAGAAAGCTCTTGTGCTCTACTTTTAGAATCTGCAAAATTTTTTGCAAATTTGCAAAAATTGAATTTTTTATCGCAAAATCCAGTTATATAGTAAAAATGTTTGCAAAAAAAAATTTGTCCAAAAAAATGACAAATTATACATTTTTGAAAAGCCCTTGACCATGCCATTTCAAATATGCAAAAAGTTTTGCAAAATTTTAAATAACCTGATTTTAAATCAAGAAAAACTAAAAATGTGCAAATTTCCTTTGACAGGTTGTTTGCAAAAAATTTGCATTTTTTTTTCGCAAAACTTATGCAATCTGTTTCCTTATGTCA